TGGTAGGAGCCACACGTAGCCCATAAGGCTAGGGTGCCTGAGGAGCACCCATTATACCGGGAGACCCCCAGGGGGTCCGAGAACATACGGGGACAGAGGTCCCGGCTATCCGTGCCCAGGGAGTCATAAGGCAGGCTCCCAACCTTATTCAACAGCAAAGACGTGGCGGGCGAGAATCGAGGGTGCCCTTGGGCCGAATTGGCACGGAGAGAGGGCCTCAAGGAGATCACGACCCTCCTGACGGACCCCGCCGTGACACAAGGCTAAAATAAATATGGGACTTCAAACATATGTATAACTGGCAGCCTCTTTTCATTGTTCATCATAATAGAGGTCACTCACCCTATTAGGGCCAAAATGTGGTTTAGTAATAGACTCTTATATCTGTGTCACCATACCCATGACTCATCATTTGCGGTGAACCTGGTTTTGTTGGTTGGTCTCGACTTCATTATAAAATGTTTTACCCTTGTCTTACCTTTTCTATTCAACAGCAGCCACCACAGTCTCTTCCCATAAGGCAAACCAAACAATACAAAATGCCTCTTCTGTAAAAGAGATGATACAGTCTTTCAAAAAATAAATCAAACTACCCTGGATTTATTTCAGAATTAACTGATCTGGATGCAAGAGAGTGTTATAGGGCTCAAAATAACTCTCAGTTTCATTACCCTTCATTGGTTAAAGTAGGACAGTAAGTGACCAATGAATAAGATATAGTTACCCTGTAGGCATAATGGGCAAATCTATTTCATGGCAGGAAAAATAATACTCTTGAGAAATGTTTCCCTGCTCAAGAAAAGCTGTAATGGCAAATAGATATAGAACTACTGCATGCAATTTTGCTGAACTGATGCTATCACAGTATATGGCTCACAGACTACAAAAATACATTGCATAATATACTTCTCACTATATTTTTAAGTTCCATCCCCAACTGTGCCAATGCATCTAAAGCTGTATTTACAATGGGCTCCACACATGTAATTATTTTATGGCACTAGCTCTGTGTATTTTGTTGATGGATGCTTCACAGTGCATAAAATTGTAGCTTTCGTTGCAGATTCTTGAATATTCTTTGGTTCTTTTTAACTTGGAATATTCCCTTTTCCTGGCCTGGATGGTAGCAATGTGTTTAAGGACTGCATTATGCCATGGAAGTAGGGGGAAAGTACCTTGTGTGGAGAAGTGGAGGGAAGCATCACAGCTGTGGAAAACATTGGAAGCCATTAGGGCTGCTGGAAGCCACCTAAGCAGCAGAGCTGGTGACACCAGTGGAAACAGCAAAGCATACTGTTTCTTCTACTGTGTTCCAGAGGTAGAGCAAAGGTCCCATCCCATACAGCTTATGTTCCTCTGATTTAGTTACCACTGTAGCAGCACAAATGCTTGCAGAATAGTGGGCGCTAGATACTAAGCTGTGTCTGATTCTTGCGTGAGTGCATGGGGCTGGGTCTCCATGGGTTCTCAGTCTTCTTAAGTATATTGATGTAGCATCAACTGGAACTTGGCTGGTAACCTGCAACTTAAAAGAAAGTTCTAAGTTGGTTGTGTTTATGTAGGAAGCCCCAAGTATGTGACCATAAGTTCTCCTATTCCCAGCATCTAGTACAGGGTTCATTCACTCCTGCCAGAAAATTATAAAAACACAGAGCAGCTTTCCCAAGTAATGACCTCAACATACTGCAGAAACACTAATAAACTGCAGTGTGCTTTACGCAGTAATGAAGGAAAAAGCCACGTACCTCATGTCTCAAGATGTAACATGAAAGATTTGAGCTGAAGTTCTATGATGCTATTCTAGTTGGGTCCTCTGCTGTTTTTCCTTGCTCTGATTAATCTCTTTGCAGTGTAGCATTTGGTTGTTGAAGCTAGAACCATGCCCTTTCTAAAAAATAATTGGTCCTTTGGTAGTCTTCAGCATTCTAGTACTGATTGAAACATTTTACAAGGGGCCCAGCACTTGGCAAAAACAAGATTTCTGTGCTTAGTTGATTGTATTCCTCTCCCATCATAGAAATCACAGCAACTGTAGACATCTTAGCCAATTCCTTTACTTGTCACTTTCAGTTTTGTGCTGACTTCAGTAATGTTGATGCATTTTGCAACAATGAGAATTGTAATGGAAGAGAGAAGAGTGGAAAAAGATGGTGGTACTGAAGATTACTCTTTCAGGGGAAAACTTCAGGCTGTACATATATTTTCTATTAAAATACCAGTTTGGCACGCCTTATATATAGGTAAATATCACTATGTGTAGGTTGGGACCCTTACTGCTTATTTAAGCCAGGAGTAATACAGTTATGGCAAACATGTTAAACAATTTATTCTCTCCTGTGTTGAGAGGTAACTATAATGGTATTGGGCCATATTTTTAGCTGAGGTGTGACAGTCTTTCAATCAACATAGTCTTTGCTAGAGAGCAATGTTGAAAAGCTGTCAGTTACTCAAGGGAAAATATAGTTCTTTTATATGTCTAATTGTGGTCAGCTCCTCAAGTGGTATAAATCAGTGTATTGACAGAAATGGAACTGTGATTTATGCCATCTGAGGCTCTGGCCTCTAGTTATTTATATAAAGTAGACAGAGCCAAATATTTAAATAATGCAGATAGTATAAATATTTCCATATCTTCTATCTTAACAACATTGCTCTGCCTCATTAGCAGAGCAACAGCTTTTTGATGCATGAACTTTTGTATATATCCTTATGGTATGTAGAGATAACAGTTGTTTGGATTTTGCAACCTTGAAAAAGGTTGGTAATGATACTGGAATGCAGAAAAAAAGCTGTTCTCTATAACTACAACTTTCACTTTTAGTATTGATATCCTGAGATATTACAGTATTTCAAAATTAAATGCAAAACCATTTAATGCAACATTAGGGTGCAAATCTGAGCATGAAAGTATCACAGCCTATGAAATATGGTACTCACAAATGTTAGTTTGGCCACATTACACATACCACATCTCTATTAGACATTTAACAGTCAGATCACCCATACATTCTTTACATGGAAAAGGTATATGGAATGCTAAGGGTCTGATCCTGTTTCCATGCAAGTTTCCTATTGCCTTTCAATGTCAATGGGAGCAGAAATGAGCTCTTAGTAATAAAAGTTAAGTATTAACCCCTACTTTTCTGTGGCTCTGCACTACTGTTAATGTTTGGAAGCTGAGGAGGGGCCTGCATTGTAGCAGAGGTATCTTACAGAACAGTCCTATTGAGTTTAAAATAAAATGATTCTAGTAAGTTTTTGGACATGTATACCGTAGAATTTGTATAGAATGCAATAGAAAATGTCATCCCTGTCACAGAATTATTTAAGAGACTTGTTTCTCCTTTAGAATATTATATGGTTCCCTCACTGTAGCATCTGAGCAATGAAATAAGCAGAATACAAGCATTAAACAGAATAGAATGTCTATAAAACTGTATTGTTTCTGGTCCTGTCAGACTACATAAGGTATCTTGTGCACAGTATCCCAGGAAGAATTCTGCTGACTCCATCAGAATCCTTCCTTGAGCACAATGAGGATGCATGCTAATATGGGAACTCCATCCTCTGAAAGGAGATGGTCAACAACTGGCAGACAATGGCCTGACCTGGTCTAGCCCTCACCTGGCTCGTTCCTGCCCACCTTAGAACTTTTGATTATGAGTTGGGAACATCTAGTTATAGTCCTGGTGGCGCATTTTAGTCCTATCCTTCTAGGAATGCTGTCCTTACTTCATCAAAGAAATCAATGCTTTGATTTGCACAATAGGAAGCAGAGTGGCCTTGCTGTGATCCTTTTGCCGGTTGTCCCAGACAGCAATCTCGATGTGTTCTTTCACATTCCATTTTTTCGTAAAGGATATTTTTGGCCCTGTGTGGTGCCCTGAGGATAACTCAAGTAAAAACTGTTTTTATAAAAATAATGTCTCAAAGGCCTGATTGGCATAAGGCCAAGAATAATGTATGCAGCTATGTGGGCAAGGTTTTGTTGCCTGTACCAGTGAAGAGCATTTAATAGAACTGTATGGGAGAAATCATGTCAAACCCAAAGAGGCCGAGGTTTCTCTTAGCGTCTTTATTTGTCCTCTGTGCTCTCTCCTTTGTCCTAATGTAGGTCTCTGTTTCCCAAAGAAAGGCAGTGTTCCAACAGGCGTAGGAGTAATGTGGGCTACAAACAGCTGTGTTTTTACTTTGTCATGCTGACCAAATGATGATGCTCAAGAGGCAAAATTTAGACCTATAATTTCTGATTGGTTGCTGTATGTTGCATTACAAGGGCTACATGAAGTTCTTTGACATATGTTCCTGATGGTTAAATTTTAGCTGGCTAATGCAAAGGTTTCATGTAACTGGATAGCTCAATGAAGTGACCATGGGACCTTTATGTCTTAGCTTTGAGTCCATACTGAACATTATCATCTTGTTGTTACAGAAACATAAACAAAATGAATTGATGATCTGAATCCAGTTCCCAGTGGACAGAAGTCCACAAAATTATATCTGCTAACTCAGTTTGTACCAGTTAACCTCCATGTTGCCAGTTACAGCAGGGATGCTGCAAATGGGCCTGGAGTCTGAACCATGTTCTTATCCCTAAAGTGGTCTCTCCATGACAGAGCTGGGGAACTTTGGATTGGGGCGGGGGGAAGGGGAGGAGGGAAGAAGGTGATATTTTTCCTTCCTATAACAATTCTACTCATGGATAAAGGACTCTCCTCCTTATTGTGGTTGGCCATCAAGCTTGTTTGTGAATCATGAAGTTATACACATGGCAAGTGTGTACATGTATGTTAAACACACAAGTGTAAGGTCTGATCTTCACATGAATGCACTATAGGTCATGCACTACTTCATTAAAAGTTATTTAAGTACAGGCATAACATTACTTAGCTGGGCCTTAACTGCAAAATTAATGAAGCTCCTTGCTACACCATTCTGAACTTGTCTTATCTCACCCCTTGCAGCTTTATAACTTTCCTTATGTTGCCACAATAAGTCACTGCTCCCCGTGGAAGAAACAAGTTCCATTTGCTAAGCTGAGTCTCAAATTTACTGGAATTTCCCTTAGGAGGGTGAAGTAGAGGAACATGCGGGGAGGAGGAGATCTATATATTTTGCCCCAGGGGAGTTTACAGATAGGATGAGATTCAAGTAAATTTGAGTTGTAACTTGGGTTCTAGCAATGGCTCTTGTTAATTGCTTCAGGCTTCTGCCTCAGTTTCCCATAAATTAAACGGCTGTGAAAATATGTACTTAACTACCTCAGAGGCAGAGCTGTAAGAAGGTCTAATGTGTGTATAGTGCTTTAAACAGCATTCAGATCCTATAACTAGTTCTATCAAAATGCCCATAAATAACATGGCATTTGGGCTTATCACAAATTTGGCCTGGGAACAAAATACTTGGCTTGTGAGCTTGCAAGAGCAGGGATTTTCACTGGCCTTGAACAGTCTTGCAGCTCTGTTCTTGTACCCACAACTGAAGTTCAATCTCTTGGCTTTTAATAATGAGTCACAGGACTGAATGAACTAAAATATTTGATGGAAACATTTAGGAGCATGATTAATCTTTTAATTCTGAAAAACAGCACCACCGAGTCTAGCTGGTTACCTGCTGAGATCTGGGCTGAAGATTTTTACAGTGTGCCAAGGATTTTAAATCTGTTTGCATGGCAGGGAATAGAATTGAAACATCATAACAAATAAAAGGCAATGGTAAATCAAACAGTAAAAATCAAGCATACTCTTTAGGATACAGCTATTTGCATTCATTCAGTTTCCCCTGGTCAGTGTTTCCTCGCAGTATTCACATACAGCACAGCTTTTTTTTTTAATCAGCTTTCTGTACCTTTTATCCAGAAGAGTCTCCTTTCCACCCTGCTTGCTGCATTGCACCACTGATTCAGTGAAGACATCATCCTCATAAGGATGCTCTTCTAACTCACCTCTGAGTTCTGCTTGCTTTTCTCCTCTGACAATTAGGCTTAAATGTGCTGCAGCAAAGTACTCCTGCTCAACAGTCCTGTGGCTTTTTAAGTGATAAATTGCATTAGCAAATTCCTTATTAGATAATCTGTCAAATGAGGTCATACATAATTTTAGCAATCTCGTCCTGATTTATAACACTGTTGCAGTGAGTTACACATACACAAACCAGCATGCCGACTGTCAAAGTCAGGTATTTTTGCTGTGCTAGAAAGGATATTCTGGGGCAGTCCAGTGGCTGGCTAGTAACATTCTGCATTGCCACATGTGACCCAGATTGCATTTCAGTGCATAGCCTCACCTCCCCCAACCTAGCAACAACACAGAGGGAGCATGCTATCCCACACCTTGCACACCCCCACAGCAATCCTTCATGGAATTGATTTTAAAGGATCTTTTCCTACCTTTGTTAACATAGGGATAGTGACTCTGACATGGAGACTTGAATATATGTGGGGAAAAATACAGGCCCTGAGCGGGTGGGGGAGATCACTGCCAAAATCCTTTGTGCATCATTCCTGTTCTCCTTCCCAGGCCTGCCTTCCTGGGGCACTACTGGCTTAGGAAGCAGCATCCTCAGCTCCTGGAAGGAGGAGAGTCTGTGGCAGGATGGGTTCTGAGGGCTCCCGTGATGCCTCCTGTGGGTCGTCCTAGTCCTGGCCCTACTCCAGGTTTGCCATATAAGCCCACTTTCTCTCTCCTGCCATGTCTTTTTTGTTGATTGGGGGCTGCTCCTGAGTCTTGGTGTGATCTCCTTGGTGCCTAGCAGACTCAGTCTCTGGGCCCTCACCTGTTTTCTGTGGGTGGCTCATGCGCCCAATCAGAACTACTCATGCCCTACGGTCACGACTTGAACTTGGCAGTCACAACTCATGACCTTAATGGCTCTAATCAAGTCTTAATGGCTGTAATCATGGCCTCCATCCTCCCCTATAGCCAGGCCCATGCCTTGCAGGTGTTACTCAGTTGTCCTTCACTCTCCTATACAGGCTCCAGTCCTCTTGGCTTGATCTGCAGTTTACTCTGGCTGTAGGCCTCTAGCCTGGGCCCACTTGCTCTAACCCAGCTTCTTGGCCTCAGCCTTTCTCTTTCCCAGGGCGCAGGCTGTAGCTCCCCTCAACTGCAGTCTACCTCTTTTCCTATCCCTCTCTCTGTGGTGCCCTGCCCCTGGAATGGTTCTCCTGCACTCCTTTGTAACCTTTTAAATATCTCTACAGCCTCAACCTGGTCCTCCGGTATTTCCACAGCAAAATAAAAGACACCACCCAACTGGGTAGTCACAAAACAAAAAGTAAGCCAAACTCAAAGTCATCCCCAACCTGGGAAAATTTAAAAAGGAGGCTTCTCTGCCTGCATGCCCAGGCTCCCCTTACCACCACCCCAGGTTCCACAGCAGCATGCCTGAGAGACAAGTACCCTTCCCCAACCAGGGCTACAGTGACCTTCCTGGCCTGGGGGTGAGTCTATTATACTGATAAGTCCCTCCCCTTCTGGCCTGTCCAACCTATCATGCAGTGTGAGTACAGTGCTCTCTCACTGGTCCACTCAACCCTGCTTGGTTTCAGGGCACCCATAGCTGAGGACTGCTAACATCCTGTCTCCTCTTCCTGTATTGTTTTAGTCTTCATTCCCAGCATTGTAACAACGAAGTTTGGAGCCCAGGGGAAAGCTCAGAGTGGCAGCCTGCCCTCGCCCCATGTACAGATCCAGGGGGCACATGCCCCCCATGCTTGCCTGGGAGTGCCTGCAGCAGCGGGAGCTGCTCTCCCTCCTCCCCCCCAATGAGCCGCTTGCAGCTCCATCCCGCACCCTGCCCTGGCTGGGCAGCGCCTGTTGGTGCCCCTTCGCTTCAGCGCCTGGGGCAAGTTGCCCCACTCATTCCCCCCTTGCTACGGCACTGTTCATTCCCCTCCCTTTGAGACACAAAGACTCTACTCTTAAAGGGTCCTCATGGGTTCTGCTTGTCCCCCAGCCTTCTCCCAGTAACAGGGTAAAGGGTTTCCTGTTACCATGCCTTGATCCTATGATCCCCCTATGTAGGAAGAAGTGTGACCTGTTTTGGAAGAGGCCAAAGTGGGGAAATGAAGGGAAAATGAGAGGGAGCTTCAAGGAGTAGTTTCTGGAAAATGCTGTTTCTGAATATTGGCACCCTTCTCTGAGAGGATTTATTAAACATTTATCCTGGCTGCTGTATCCAGTGTTTGGCTCCAGGAGTGTAACTAAGGGACTTCTGGGGCATTTTGCAGGGATCAGGAGGGGAAGGGCACCTCCTCTGCTGCAGCCACAGGGCTCCACATTGTTTCCTTAGGGCTGCAGGTGCTCCCATGGTTGCAGTCTCCCATGAGGGTGCAGTTACAGATCCCTTAGCTCTGCCTGTCTCATCCTGGAGGCTGTGCTGTGCAGAATGCAGAGGCCATTTACTGCTTGGGCTTGCCCTGAGCCGCAGAGTCCCATCTCTTCCATTGTATTCCCGTCCATCCCCCATCCATGTAGGACAGGGGAGGATGGAACAGTATTTCCCCCTCAATGCATTAGATGTCTAACTCTAAACCACAGGCTGTCTAATCTGAGTGAAACTCTGCACAGGGACTTCCCCTGGTAAACAACTAGTTTATCTCTAAAAATGGTAGCGATCCAAATATATCGTTTCCTGAAAAACCCTGGAACCAAATCACACAAAGGCATACATACTTTTTTATAAGGTTATTCCTGGGGAGTAATCCTGGAAGAAATCAATGTCTTTTATCAAAATGGGTAAGCAAAGGGAATACTTACAATAGGCGGCAGTGGTGTAGAGTACACCCTGAGGCGGTATTACCTAATCACAGTGAGTAATTATTTCATGCGTGCACAATGGGTAACATCCACTCTGCCCCAATAAAACCTGAGCAGTCCAGCTGTATGCAGGCAGAGTGCAGAGGATCTCAGCAATGCTGAGATAGTGTGTGGTCCCCTAGGGGTCAGCAGACCACAGATTGAAAACCACTGCTCTATAGGCTGAAATAGACAGAAGGCCTTCTCTTGTCCTGCCCATATCACGATCACCTGCATCTGTCTGAGATGGGTGATACAATGCAGAAAACAGCAGGAGCAGATATCAGCATGCTGCCAGCCCCTTAAGTATAGCAACATCTGAGGGTTGCTATAGGCTGGAGACAGAGGAGCAGAAGGGGCTCATGAGCCTTCAACCTCATGCACATGGGGGCTGAGATCATCCCAGCAGCATACACTGTGCGGGGGGAGTGAGGGCAGGAGTCTTCCTTCATCCTTACAGCCCCTTTGGAGACAGGGTCTCACTCTGAGCCTGTGCATCACAGTGAATTTCATTCTGCGTTGCTGGATGTGATGTTATTAATGTTAGGAAACTCTGCAATACAGCACAGGCTAGCACTGAAAGCAGCAGCCCTCTTAAAGAAACACACGCTAATTATAGCACATGAATATTTAATTTCTGTAAAACCATCAAAGGAAAAGTAATTATCAAAATAAGCCCAGGGCCTACTTTCTCATCCCTCTGTCTTCACTTCCTTTTGGCAACATGTTAATATGTGGACACTGCCAAAAGAAGGTAAATAGTTATATCTGAGAGCACAGAACTGCACAGGGTCCCCGGAGTTTATGAACTGTATGCCACGTGCTTTTCTGTTTTCATTTTGGCTCTCAGCCTCCTGGCAAGCCACTGACTAGAATATGCATGATACAATAATTCAGGTGCTGAACGTGACCTATTACCATGATCAAAGATTTATGAACATCAGAAATGGAAAAGACCTGTCAGTCCATCTCCTTGCAGGTATAGTATATAGTCTATCAGTGGAGGAGACCTTTGAGATATAACAAAGGTTTGTTCAATATTAGTGCAAGCCATTTTACAAACTTGCATGTACTTTAAATCTGAAGACAAAAGAGATTAAAGAGATATATGTGTATAGCTTCCATGAGTGGACTTGCATTGTGCAATATAAAGAAAGGTGCTACAATATGTAAGACTTTCTTTGTACAAATGGTTATATACCTAACCCTGGCTTGTCTATAGAGAGCTCATCTATTTAGGAAGTATCTGTTTTAAGCCCTGTTAATCTTCAGTCCACCAGCAGTAAAAGCAGAGAGTAGCTCCAGGACCCACCTTCTCAAAAGGTATATAGACTCTGACTTCATTTATGGGAAACCAAACAGGATAGAACCCAGTGGTGACTGGTAAGTAGGGGCTAATAGGGGCATAAACCACTGAATAAAATGTCTTTTCCATCTTTCTAACAACCAAAGCCCCTTTGAAGTCAAGCATCTGCTAAGGGGGGTGGGAGTGGGGTTATTGTGGATTACAAACTCAGTTTGAGTCATCAATGCAATGCTGTCACAACAAAAGCAAATGCAGTTTGGCATTCTATTAACAGAAACATTTTATGCAAGGCATAGGAAGTAATAGTACTAGTTTACTTGGTGTTGGCTAGGCCTCTGATGGACTACTGCGTCCACTTTGGGGCACAACCTTTTAAGAAGGATGCAGAGAAAGCAGAGAGGATCCAGGGGCAAGTGATGAAGATGATAAAGGGGTTGGAACAGAACCGTATGAGGAGAGGTTGAATGAACAAAGTGTGTCACTCTGGAGAAAAGGGGAGGCGGGGGAAGGAACAGGACATAACAGCAGTTTTAAAAAATGTGAAAGGCTACCATAAAGGAAATGGAGAAAAAATATTCTCCCTTGCTGCAGAGGGCAGGACTTAAAGCTTTGGGTTGAAACTACAGCAAAACAAATTTTAAATCATATATCTGGGGGGAAATAATGTCAACTGTAAGAACCACAAGTCAATGGAACAAGCTGCCCATGGAATCTCCTTTCTGGGAAGTTTTCAAGAAGAAGGTGGGATGGTCAGGAATATCCCATCCTGCAGGGCTTGGGCTACTGTTGGTTAGGAATAGCCTAACCAGCCTAATAGTTGGCTAGGAATATTGTTGGGATATTGATGGTTAGGAACAGCCCATCTTGCAGTGCTTGGATGAATGACCTTTGAGGTCCCTTCCCACCCTACGA